AGAGTGTCATCACAAGAAATTATCTCACTATTAGAAATTATAGAATGGATAAAGTAGTTTAAATGGTGACGTTTATTATAAAAGCCAAAGGGCTGTCAAGCTGTATAAGCTTCAGTTTCAAAATACTTGTTCTATGAGCCCTTTCTGCCTCCTATGAAAATGGTAAAAATCTTGTTTCACAAAAAATCAATCCCTTAGACAGTAAGAACATTCATCCAAAATGAGGGTATCTTTCTTTCTAGGGAAGATGCTTTGCAGGTTTGCAGCTTATCATTTCTGTTTGTTGGTTACTGTAAAGATGAGTGCTGAGTATGTTGTATGCAACTGTGGTACAGCTAGGCAAAAAGTGTGGGTTTTCTTCTTCCTGCCTTCATCCAAGTCAAGTAGGAAAGTTTCCTAAAAATAAAAATAACAACACAATATCACAACCTGCTCTGTGCTTTCCTGTCATATTTACATTTGCATGCTAGCAAACACAAATTTCAAGGTAGCTCGATAATTTCAGGTCAGGAATCCCAATCCTGACCTCTCAGGCAGTCCCAGCACAGTATTCCTACATTGGGTCCCTCATACCTTTCAGCCTGTGACAAACTTCTGTTTAACTGGTTTCCTCAATCGTAAATCCTTGGTAACGCCGCTGCCAAAGAGGCAGAGCAACACCATTGGCAATAATTACAGTGAAATCCCACGTAAACGTTAGGTTACAAACGTAAATACCGGGAGGTTCACCGGCAGCCAGGCAGGCAGCTGGTGCGGCTAATGAGGAGGACCCCGCAGGGCCTCACGTCCCTCACCCGGTGCCCTGCGTGTCCGTCCCGGCTATGCCCTCGTACACTACAACTCCCAGCGTGCACAGCGGCCCGGCCTTCGGCAGCGCGCTGCCTACTGGGAAAGTCTCCCTTTCCTCCCCTCTCCCTCTTTACCCCGCCAGAGTGTAACGAAGCGCAGTCTTGCTGCGGGCTCCGCTCTTACTCCTCCGGGATGGGCCTACCTCGCTCGGTGCGCGGCGGCCATGGGCACCTCGGCGCTGCGAGGCGCCGACAGGGAGGGGCTTTCAGCAGAGGCGACCACACGGCAGCCAACACGCTCACCCCCCGCTAGCCCGGAAGCGCTATCGGGCCCGCGCCTGGACTTGGAGCGCAATCGCGTCTCACTGGGCTGGTCGGCACGTGATCCCTCGCGGCCTGTTAGGGCGGATGAGGTTGCTCCGCCATATTGGTTGCGGGTACGGCGCCCCGAGGATGAGGTGCTTCAGGCAGGACGTCGCGCATGCGCGCGGGGCG